ACTTCACTCTCATTCATGACATATTAGAGTAAACCACTCTTTAGTAGCTTTAGCAAAGCTCTGCTGTAGTGCTCTGAGATTAGGGAGAGAGTGAGGGGACTATGGAGAAGAGTCGGGCCTATCTGGTGTCCACTCCAAGTTGTACCTCGGCAGATGCAATCTTCTTGTAAGTGATACATCTGAGTTCTTTATAGTATTTGATATTCTGTCTCTGCTAGTAGTTATATAGCCTTCTTACCTGTACACCGCTTTACTTAGTAGAGTACTCTAACCTCTCGAGAAGGTTAGAGCAGTAAGTATAGTGTAGACGTGGTGTCTAAACTATATCTTGCCTGTGTAGACCGCTTGTCGCACGGATAGTTTGTGGTAGCTAGCAGGTGGTGACAGCCTTGTCTAGCCTTTGTATTCCACAACGTGTGTAAGACAAGTTCTTAAAAGGTAGGGCCTCAATACAACATGATAGCCGCTCTGGATAGGGTTTCATTCCCTATTGTCTCGTCTATCACCTCCTGTAAGCGAGTGGGTGACTAACCCTTTATAACTACTATCTTTACTAGATATCATTGCTATCTAGATCCTCTCTACCCAAGTTTCATAGGCTCTTTTATATCATCGTAGAACGATCTTGATCCTCTGTTAGTTCACTTCGCGTTCCCCGTGGAAATACGATACCTGGAATACTCCCGGTGAAGGCTACATTGACTACCGTACGCTTGCGGTATATCCGTTTGCCACTTCTGGTGTCAACAATAAGTTCGTAAAAGTACTCAGCTCTCCTGCATGTTCGAGGAAAAAAGTTCCAACTACATGTGTGTTGGCAACCAAAATATGATCAGAGAGTTGAAGATGAATTGAAAAACAAGCTTTAACAAGAAAAGAACAAAAAGGAATCAAATTTAGAGAGAATTGAGACACATTGGCATTTAACAAGAAAAGAACCAATACTACCAAAAGGATCTAATTTAGAGAGATTTGAGACAAATTGATGTTTTCCTAGAAAAACTGGACTAGGCTGGTTTGTGTAGACTAAACCGACCTAGGATAGTTTTCGCCGAGTGGACATGGTGGCCCAGTACACGGCGCCCAGGTAGTTTTTTGTAGACCGGCCACGGTGGCCCTGTACACGACCTAGGCTGGTTTTGGTAGTCTGAACCCAAACTCGTGTTTTTCATTGGAGAAAGTCATGTCATCCATAAGTTGTGTGTGCAAATGATTTCCTATTAGTGAAAAGATATATGGATGGATAGAGATGGGTGAATAGCCTATTAAAAAAACTCGTTCAAGGCACAACACTAGGGAAGAGATTAGTAAAAGAGATAACAACCCTAATAGCGACAACTTCCCTAGCCTAAATCACTTCAAAGCAAGCCCCTAAATAAGCCAAGTAGCAAGGATCACGACTACTCTAAAGCACACAGAACCTACGAAGACAAGCAACTACACCTAGTTGAGCTACCCAAGTAAAACTAGCTGCTTGAACTACACTACTCAACTAAGTGACATACTTCTACAACTACATCTTCAACTACATAAGCACAACTAGGAGACACGATTCTCAGTGCGAGGCTTCCGAGAATGAGCCTATATATCTTTGGGCCATAAACTACACAAGCACACTAATGTTGATCGATAAGTGGATGCTACTAGTAATGTATCATGAAAATATGTAAAAGTGTGTGTTGATCGATAAATGGATGCTACTATATATGTTTGTTTGCAAACTAGTGACCAGCCTATCTTTGGGCCATCTTTCCCTCTAGTTCCACAGATTGAACTAGTTTTCCAGCTGTCATTTTGGAGAACTAGCATAATTTGTGGATCTAGAGGGAAAACAACTTCCGAGCTGCGGGGAAAAGGAGCATCACAATCAGTTTGAATACAAACCGAAGCTTATAATTTGCACTTTCACTCCCTTTTTCAGCCGAGATTTGTACCTTTGGGTATCAGGACCTTGCTTTGGGAAAAGAGAGTTGCAAACCCGGAAAGCCCTATTTCTTTAGTAGTGTCACATATTTCTTCAGTGGTGAGGACTTTCTTGTCTTGGAGTAGCCCTAACTGTGCACGGAAAGGGCAAAGGCAGGGACCCTGCCGATCAGTAGAAAATAACCAGTGACATCTAAGGTACGCCCACTGATAAGCATACCGAGAAGATTATTGATCCTGATCGATACAGTTACAGCGACACGGGAGACATCCAATAATAGGCACAGAGAAAAGAGTTGGCCAATCCAGAGATGTATGCCGACACGCATGTTGAATAGTACATAGGATATACATAATCCAAATACTAAGTACCGTTAAACAAAAACAGATCAAAAAAAGGGAGGATGCAAGCTAGCAGCACATAGAAAATTAGCCACCATTTGTGGTGACGGGAAGAAAATTTACACCAACACTGTGGCTTCTCTGGTACCACTCCATGAATTTATTAAAAGATTATAAGCCCAATACTGTAAAAATGTAACATGATTTGACTATATTAATGCACATATATAGTGTCATTCATCCAAGCATTTGAAGTTTCAGTTTTTTTATGGGACAGGAGGGCCTCCCCCCTTACTGAAAATTGTATTAAAGTAAACAGGAGGTTAATTACGTATATTACAAGGATTCAAGCCAATTTACAATTTGTCAAAAAAATGTACCCTTTGCTCTATGGATAACCATGGCGAAATCTTGATTGAAATTCAGTCTACACAACTCTACATGACGCCAAAGTTAGTCGTTGCTGATTGTTAAAAATCTTTCCATTCCTTGTAGTCAAAATGCTCTAGCATATTAGTACTATGATTTCCATGAAGAAAGAAACTTAAAGTTGCTGCTGAAAAGGTTCTAGAATCTATCTGGAGTGTTGATTGACTCTCATTAATTAAAACATGCCCAGCATGATTTGGAATGCTGGGCAGTTTTTTAGCCTCTTGTAGAGCGAGATTTTTTTTTTAAAAAAAATTAGCAGATTACAGGAGTTCAGGATAAACTGAACTAAGAACCTGATCTGATCTGAGATCATGCAAGCAAAAGAAATTGATTTACATTTCTTGGCCAGGGTTTAGCTAATCCAAAGTATTGAAGAATAGATTTGATGATGTCCATCCACCAAAAGGACCCTCTTTTACCATATCCAGGCAGCTACCACTAGTAGAGAACAGACCTTTCATCCGAGGCCAAAATGAGCTCTAGTCCCAGCATTTTTTGCGCCCGGGACTAGAGAGACCTTTAGTCCCGGTTGGAGACACCAACCGGGACTAAAGGTCCCTGCCCAACGGCTACTGCGCTCGGCACAGTGGCAGGGGACCTTTAGTCCCGGTTGGAGATACCAACCGGGACTAAAGGTGGACCTTTACTCCCGGTTGGAGCCACCAACCGGGACTAAAAGTCCTCCAACCTTTACTCCCGGTTGGTAACACCAACCGGGACTAAAGGGTGACCTTTTAGTCCGGGTTGATGTTACTAACCGGGACTAAAGGACCCTTTAGTCCCGGTTGGTAACATCAACCGGGACTAAAGGTCCCCCGATGCGTTAGTTCAAAAGGAAAGCATCCCATCTATTGTTAGATGTGTTGTGTAGGTGGGGTGGTAAGCTACGCGCGAGGCAGTGCATGAGGTCTTGGGTTCGAATCTCACGGGAGGCAGCGGTGGGAGGCATTTTTTTTTAAAGCTGGGAGGATCTTTAGTCCCGGTTGTGGCAAACCGGGACTAAAGAACAACATCTTTAGTCCCGGATTGCTAGTCCCGGTTGGGAAACCGGGAGTAGAGCTAGTTCCCAACCGGGACTAGATCTCATTTCTCCACTAGTGTACCAATTGCTATGATATAACTTTTCCAAATAAGAAAAAACCAAGGAAATCTCCATGATTGAAGAATTTATGTACTTCTTTCATTAGAAGGACCTCATTTTGAGCTTTGAGATTAATCACCCCTAATCCACGTACTTTGGAAGTACGGACCATTTTCCATGCTGCACATGGTGGCAGTTTTCGTTTTGCATTCAGATCAGATCCATACCAAATAAGATGCATTCTATATTATATTTATCAAGCTGTTTAATGATAGTTTTTCCATGGATCCGTATCGTGTTCAATATTTCAAATCTTGATGTACTACCTCCATTTCAAAAAGAATACAATTCTAGGCACATTCTTTGTTAAAGTATCTAAATTTTTTTTTTGAGGGAAAGCAGAAAGTATCTAAATTTTGACCAAATATATGGGTAAAATATTAACGTTTGTGACATCAAATAGGTATACTATAAAAATATATCTCATTACAAATCTAATGATACTTATTTGATAACATAAGTATTGATATATTTTATATATAGTTAGTCAAACTCAAGATACTCAAGAATGCAACATAAAGAAGCACAACTCGATGATAAATCCATGACGATACAATGGTACATATATCAAAAGCTAGACCTTTTATATATACTCCCTCTAGTCACCAATAAGGGACATATATATTCAATGGTAGCTTGCATGTTATTTTGTATTTGTTGAGTTTGATTATTTGATAATGACTTGTCTTTTTTCTCTTGAAATATAGTTTAATAAAAGTATATTCTTGCTATATTTTATAAACATTTTGCAAAACCTATTAGTTAAAGTTTCTTTTGGAGATTATGTCGAAATTTCTAAAAGATCACTCATGTGTGGCCGAAGGAAGCACTATATATCCTTGGATAAATAAGCACTCATGGGCCACCCTTAGTAGATAATTTTTTCCGGAAGGTACTTATAACACATCTATATATATCCCTTTACAAATGTACTTATAACACATCTATATATCTCTTGTATACTATTGCAAGACATGGAGATCATTGTAGACTTCTTAAACTACAACTAATGGTATATATTTCAGCCATGCTTATGCGACCGAGGAACTGACAAAGAGAGATACCAGAACCTCAGGTACAAAGGTGCACATCCAGAGTGGCACTGTGACTTGGTTTCAGCTACCTAGAGTCTCAGCTCAAGGTTGAGATCCAGATGCTCACCCTAGTCAGCAGTGTCGGCGCTGGTGGCCGCAGGCGCAGCGGAGGCCCTGACACAATTGAGCATGTCGATCGTGCCATCGCAACCAACCAGCGTGCCATCAGCCACCACCCTGTCCATCTCTAGTGGCCTGATGTTCACCGGTGCGAATAGCGTGGCCCGCCTTTGGAGCATTCTCGCTCGAAAGTTTGGGACGACGGCGGTGCCACTGCCATTCCCGTCACGGCCACTGGCAAGCACAGGCTCAGCGACCATAGCGCTGCCACCGTGAGACAGCGATGGAATGGACAAGGTGGCAGCGCTACTGATGCTGCGGTTCGACGACGACAACGCTGGCTCAGCGATGGTGCCGGCGTGCTGGCCGTCGTAGACGTAGGGGTTCCAGCTGGTGCTTCGCTCCTTTTTGTGAGCATTCTGGTGGCCACCGAGCGCCTGCGCCTTCAGGAACGTCTTGTTGCAGAAAAGACAGGGGTAAAGACGACGACGCACATTATTGCATCTCAATCAAAGTATATATAACTTTGACGGCGACACATCACCCCCCACATACATGCACCATTTTTTCAAGCTGAAATTGTGCATGGTACATTATTGTTACTCGAACCATGACTTCTAAACCCTTGAACCTATATTACGTCCTGACCACTTCAATTATATATATGCAAGTTTATTCAGGGAATGATTCTTATTGAATTCATTTGATAGACTTTGTACGATGGTTGGAAACGCTTCCTGATGCCTACTCAAAATAGCTATCACTACCCCAGATTTGCACATCACTGCCGACCTTATCACTGCCAGATTTGTGACAACCAGCAGTGATGCACCTTCACTGCCGGTTTTGAGCTTGAAAATGAGAAAATGATTGGGTTTGGGCTAAAACCGGCAGTGAAGGACCACATCACTACCGGTTTATGGCTTGAACCAGCAGTGTTTTGACGGCCACTTATCACTGTCGGTTCAAGCTAAGAACTGACAGTGATTGGGCTCTATCATTGTCGGTTCTAGTCAAGAACCGACAGTGATAAGCCAACAGCACAAAAAGGCTGCAGCCATCCTCTTCTTCCTCCTCTCTTCCATCCCGAGAACAGAGGCGCGCGTTTGGACCCTTCCCTTCATTATTGCGGCTGCTCTTCACCATGAAGCTAGCGCTTGGATTTTGAAGAAGGGCTTGATCTTTTTGCTTTAAGGTTAGTAACAAACATCCACTACTTTAATTTTGTTGCTTAATTAGCTTCGTTTTGATGGCTACATTGCTTATTCTCATTCTAGTTCTTTCTCCATTTTAGAGAGCACTTTTCTAATTGAACATTTATGCAAGGCTCAAATTGTGGTGAATCCATCATCCAAAAGGTTGGTGTCTATAAACATATTTAAATTTCTAGCTAATTATTCCATGGTGGTCAAGATCATCATTGTTAGTATGTGATGCTATAATTAGTTCTTAGAAGTAGAGTAGAATAGTTGTTCTTCATTATTATGCAATAATTATTTTTTAGTACGATTTTCAATTTACAGGGCCGGGGCAACCAATTTCAATTTTCCAATAATTAGTGTACAAGAATGTTTTCCAAAAATGGTACTTTTGAGCTACGATTGTTGTTCATGAAGCTCGATTTCTTATTAATTCTTTGTAATTACTGTCTCAATATTTTTTTGTGCAGAGATGGATCGAGAGTGGATGCATCAGTCTCGAATGGACAAGCAGTACATGCATGGCGTCAGCCAGCTTATCACTAATGCCAAAGCCCATGCAAGGAATGGAAACCCTGTCTTCTGCCCATGCAAAGATTGCAAGAATCAAAGAAACTTTCGTCAAATTGAGTCTATACGATCGTACTTGATTACCAGGGGGTCATGCCAAATTATACGATATGGACTATGCATGGCGAGGTTGGTATGAATGTTCTGCAGGAAAACGATGATGATGCGGACATGCCTGACATAGCCATCCACGATGCTGACGAGGAACCCGGTGTCAATACGTAACCTATGGCCACAGTTAATAATGTGTATAGAAACATGCTAGCTGAAGACACCGAGGATAACAATGGCATTTCTCTAGCTGATGTCTTAGTGAAAGACAGCTAAGAAAGCTAGAGAAAATGAGACAAGATGGCAAAACACCATTATATAGAAATTGTCCAATGAGCAAACTGGAAGCTGACATCATGTTGTTAGAGTTCAAATCGACAAACGGATTGTGCGATAAAGGCTTCGATCAGTTGTTAGGTATAATAAGGAAAATGCTCCCAAAAAAAAATGAGTTGCCAGAAAAGACATACTTGGCCAAGCAAATGATCTACCCCATCGGCCTCGAGGTTGAAAAAACCCACGCGTGTTCCAATGATTGCATATTGTACCGTGGAGAAAAATACAAAGACTTGGACAAGTGCTCCAAGTGTGAAGCTCCACGGTACAAGGAAGGGCCATCAGATGAGGGTACCAAGACCAGAGTAGGTCCTGTAAAGGTCGTTTCGTATTTCCCTATAGCTCCCCGAGTGAATAGGCTATTTGCATGTGCAAAGTCAGCCAAGCTATTGCGCTGGCATGGCGAAGAGCGTAAGAAATATACAATGATGAGGCACCCCACCGATGGGCATGACTGGAGGACTGTCAATACTATGTTCTATAAGGACATCAGTGGAGAGGTAAGGCACCTTTGGTTTGCATTGAGCACAGATGAGATGAATCCTTTCAACTAGGTTAGAAGCAATCATAGCACCTGGCCAGTGACGCTCTGTAGATACAACCTTCCACCTTGGGTCTGTATGAAGTGGTTGTACATCCAGATGCCACTACTGATCCAAGGGCCAAGACAACCTAGGAATGACATCGATGTTTTTCTGGAACCAGTGATCGATGAACTAGTGGAGATGTTTGAAAAGGGTGTGCCGAATGTTTGGGATGAGTACAAAAAGGAACATGTCACAATCAAGGAAGTACTTATCGCTACAATCACCGACCTGCCAGGTCAAGGTTCGTTGTCCAGAGAGAAGACAAAAGGCTATACTGGAAGTGTCGAGTGCTTGGACGACACTGATGCGGTTACTCTGCCAAATAACTCAAAGATAGTTTATATGGGACACCGTACGTTCCTACCTAAGGATCACCCTTACCGTCAGGAACAAAAAATATTTCAACGGTACTATTGAGAAACGCTTAGCTCCAAAATATCAAGACGGGACTACGATACATCGAGAACTCAACAAACTAGAGGTTGTCCTTGGGAAGGGGGATAATGTAGTAGCAGCGCTTGATGGGAGCGTTTGGAAGAAAAAAATCGGTTTTCTAGAAACTACCTTACTGGTCATTTCTGAGTGTACGCCACTGTCTTGATCCCATGCACATAACTAAAAACGTGTGCGCTAACACTCTTAACTCCTTGGTGGACACCGGGGGGACATCGAAGGATTCACTAGCCAAACGCCTAGACATGAAACACTTGGGAATTAGGAAGGAGCTGCATCTCGTGGAGCGAGAGAATGGCCAGTTCAAACTTCCGGTTGCGTCATGGACATAGAAGAAGGAAGAAAAGCGTGTGCTTATTTCATTCTTCAATGAACTCAAAGTCCCGACGGGCTACTGTGCGAACCCGAAGAGGCTAGTGAACATGAGAGAACTCAAGTTCAACTATGGCCCTATGAAGGCCCATGATTGTCATGTCATTATGACTCAGCTGCTCCCTGTTGCCCTGCGTGGTATCCTCCCCCCAAAGGTCCACACCCCAATCATAAAGCTTTGCTTGTTCTTCAACGAGATCTCAAAAAAGGTCATTGATGTGTCCATGCTAGAGCAGCTGCAGCGGGACATAGCCGAAACTCTTGTTAGGCTTGAGATGCATTTCCCACCGACTTACTTTGATATCTCATTGCATTTGCTCATTTATCTTGTTGACCAAATTAGAGCCCTTGGCCCAACGTACCTGCATCAGATGTTTCCTTTTGAAAGATTGATGAAAGTTTTCAAGAGGTATGTTAGGAACAGATTTAGGCCAAAAGGAGGCATGATTGAAGGATGGTCAATGGAGGAGGCCATTGAGTTTTGCACATATTATCTGGACATCAAAAGGGTCAGAGTTCTAGAATCTCATCATGAGGGAAGACTACGTGGCAAAAGAATGATCGGGGAGAAATCTGTTATAGTAGATGACCTTGTTTCTTTCAGATAGGCACAGTTCGCTGTTCTCCAGCAAGCCGAGGGTGTGATGCCATACATTGATGAGCATAGGCAATCGCTGCAAACTCTGTATCCGAGCAGGTCATAGGCTTGGCTGGATAAAAAACATAATGAGGAATTTGTCAACTGGTTGCGACGTCGCTTGCTTGGAATAAAGTTGGGTAATCAACTGGATGCCTTAGCCAACGGACGTTCAAGTACATATCTTAAGTACCAAGGGTATGAGATCAATGGATTCACATTTTACACAAAAATGCAAGCTGGAAAGAGCACATACCAAAATTGTGGTGTTCGTTTTGATGCTCATGATGAAAACGGCAACGTGCAGGCGACATACTATGGTTTCATAGATGAGATATGGGAGCTAGCCTATGGTCCGTTGAAGGCAGCTCTTTTTCGCTGCTAGTGGGTCTGGCTCGAGGAAATCAACATTGACAGCGAAGGGTTCACTACCGTTGATCTCACTAAGACCGCATACAGAGACAACCCCTTCGTCCTTGCAAGAGATGTTATGCAAGTCTTTTATGCAAGGGACAACAAGACAAAAGGAAGGCTAAAAGTAGTCCTAGAAGGGAAAAGGAAGATTGTCGGTGTCGATGGAGTGACGGATGAAGAAGACTACAGGGGCTATCAGGAAATGCCTCCATTTGGGGCAAACGTACCCCTACCTATCCTTCAAGAGAGTGACGAACCTGCTTATGTACGGCTTGATCACAATGAGGCCCTCATTGTTGATGCACCTAAAGATAGTTAGATTATTGTTAACTATGTAATCATTATGCACATAACCGTGAAGGATGTTTGATCCTGATGAAACTCTCATCTCCTCTCTCTCCTCCTCGTTAATACTCTACCAACTCAGCAAATATGCCGACGTATCATAGCAATTAATGACAATGAAAGTTATTTAAAACTACCATTGAGACTGACCTTATTACTATTCAAACACTTGATTAGACACCCGACATAACATTTCTAAACTTTACTCTCTGAATTTAAACACCAGCTAAATATAAATATAAATATAAATATAAATATAAATATAAATATAAATATAAATATAAATATAAATATATATGTCTAGACTTCTGATAGAAGGACATTGGGGCGGCCATTCTCTTCCGAGCTACTACTAGTAGTGAGGGTTCCATAGCTCCTCGGCATTACTGGTCCCCAACTAGTTTGTAGTCCCTGCTCGCAATACTCGAAGGAGCCCAGCCCACAGTCGGCATTGAGCAAAGGTGTAGTAGCTCCATTCCTCCTCCAACCTTCATTGATCATTGATGTATGTGCTCCTAGAGATGTGAATGGGAATGCCTGTGGCTTGTGTGTTGACTATTGAGTGATCCATTTACTTGATGCGTTACGACAGGATAAAAG